CCACCTCGCCGCGCTAGTTTTTTGTATTTAGAGGATGGACGGGGTTTCACACGTGTAGCCAGGATGGGTCTCGATACTTCCTGACCTCGTGATCCGCCCGTCTCGGGCTCTCCCAAAGTGCTGGGATTACAGGGCCTTGACCACCCGCGCTCCGGCCGATTTACCCCTCTTTTTTTGTTTTGGGTCATTTATTATTTATTTATTACTTGACTTACTTTCACTTGTATGGAGACAGAGTCTCGCACTGTCGGGCCGCAGGCTGAAGTGCAGTGGTGTAGATCCTCCGCTTATTGCAACCTCTGCCTCCCAGGTTCAAGTGATTCCTCATGCCTCAGCCTCCCAAGTAGCTGCGGTTACAGGGTGCGCTGGCCACCTTACGCCCGGCAAATTTTTGTACATTTTTAGTAGAGACTGGTTTCACAATATGTTGGCCAGGCTCGGTCTGAACTCCTGACCTCATGATTCGCCCAGCTTGGCATGCCAAAAGTGGCTGGGATTACAAGGCGCATGCAGCCACTGGTGCCATCCTATTTTTATTTAGTTTTTTTTGGAGGTGGAGTCGCTCACTCTGTCCACCCAGGCTGGGAAGTGCAGTGGCAGTGATCTCGGCTCATTGCAACCTCTTGCCCTCCCAGGTTCAAGCGATTCTCCTCCCCTTAGCCTACTCCTGAGTTAGCTGGGATTACAGGCGCGTGCTACCAATTCCAGCTAATTTTTTGTATTTAAGTCGAGATGGGGTTTCACACGTTAGCCAGGACTGTCTTGATCTCCTGACCTATCATCCGCCCTGCCTTGGCCTCCCAAAGTGCTGGGATTACGGAAGCCCCCCCCCGTCCGACCGACCAGCTTGTTGTTTGTTTTTGTTGTTTGTTTGTTGTTGTTGTTGTGTGTTTCCTCTGAGCCACAAGGAGTGTGTTATCTTGTGCATTATTCTCCCTACTGCCAGCCAGGCATATGATTAAGTGCTGGGGATGAAAGATAAAAGAAGCTTTCTGTGTTTCTTTTAAAGGAGGAGTCCGCCCGTTGCCAGGCGGAGGCAGTGGCGCGATCGCCCACCGCAACCTCCACCTCCCGGGTTCAGCGATTCTCCTGTCTCAGCTCCTGAGTAGCTGGCACTACAGGCGCCCGCCACCATCCCAGCTATTTTGCTATTTTTTAGTAGAGACGGGGTTTTCCCAATGTTGTCAGGCTGTGTGATAATATGATTGGCCAAAAAAGCGGTTACACGTGTGAGCCCCTGCACCTAGGCACTCCTGATCCTTTAGACTAAGTGTAAACATGAAAAATCTTAATGGGAAGTATTCCATAAGCAATTGTATTACATGAGTCGAGAAACTCAGGAGGAAAAGACCTGAGTTGAACGGATCTAGATTGTATGGGTAAGCAGCATTAAACAGTTTTTTGTGGCAAGGTGCGGCTGGCTCACGCACATGTATAATCCCGCATTTTGGAGTTGAGCAGCGGGGCGGATTCATGGAGGTCAGGGAGTACGAGACCCATCCTGGCTAACATTGGGTTGAACCCCATCTCTCTAAAATGAAAAAAAAAAAAGATTTAGCCGGTGGTGGTGGCAGGGCCTGTAGTTCCCAGAAAAGCTGTGAACTATCTCCAGCTATGTCAGGCTGACTTACTTGATTGCTTTAAATCACACTAAACTTACTCTTTCTGAACTGATATGAGAGTACTGATCTTAACCATGGTAAAACCTCAACTAAAACAAACATAGGACTGTTCCATCCTGAATACTTTTCCAAATAACTGAAGTTTATCCAATTAAGTGCAAAATATCTTCATTTTGCTTCAAAGTAGAAATTGCTCAAAAAAGTACTATTCATTTCCTGTAGATTATACAGTGGAAAGAGCACCATTGAAAGTCAGTGAGACTTAGCTAGATTCATCTCTGGAGTATGGCTTTGGATAAACACTTATCTCTAAGTCTGACTCTGTCTTCTGTAAGTGGACATACTACCTTCCTGCCTACTTCTTAGGATCCAATAAGATACTGTAGGTGAAATGTTTTGCAAATTCAAAAGTGTTTTGCACATTTAAGATACCATTGTTTGGCCAGGGTGCACAGTGACTTACTCCTGTAATCTCAGCACTTTGGGAGATTGAGGCAGGAGGTCTGTTTGAGTCCACAAGTTCGAGGCTGCAGTGAGCAGTGACTGAGCCACTGTACTCCAGCCTGGGCAAGATAGCAAGACCCTGTCTCTAAAAAAAATTTGTGGACAGGTGCAGTGGCTCACGCCTGTAATCCCAGCACTTTGGAAGGTCGAGGTGGGTGGATCACAGTTCAAGACCAGCCTGGCCAATATGGTGAAACTCTGTCTCTACTAAAAATACAAAAAAATTAGCCAGGCGTGGTGGCACATGCCTGTAATCCCAGCTACTCAGGAGGCTGAGTCAGAAGAATTGCTTGAATCCGGGAGGTGGAGGTTGCAGTGAGCTGAGATTGTGCCACTGCACTCCAGCCTGGGTGACAGAGCGAGACTCCATCTCAAAAAAAAGAAAAAAAATGTTTTTGGCCAGGTGCGGTGGCTCACGCCTGTAATCTCAGCAGTTTGGGAGGCTGAAGTGGGTGGATCACAAGGTCAGAAGTTCAAGACCAGCCTGGCCAAGATGGTAGAAACCCCGTCTCTACTAAAAATACAAAAATTAGCCAGGCATGGCAGTGGGTGCTTGAAATCCCAGCTAGTCAGGAGGCTGAGGCAGAGAATCTGCTGACCCTGGGACGCAGAGGTTGCAGTGAGCTGACATCGTACCACTGCACTCCACCCTGGGCAACAGAGTGAGACTCTCTCTCAATTGAAAAAAAAAAGAGAGAGAGAGAGAAAATAAAAGACCTCCCCAAGAATGAAGTAAATGAACATTATAACATGTGACTCCTATGTTACTACCATTTTCCCCTCATATCCTGGTTTTGGATATGTTTTGACTTTATTCTTTCAGCACATATTTATTGAGCACAGTATGTGCCAAGCACTATGCCGACACTAAAACATAATCTGAGCTCAGTGGGTAGACAGTTAATAAAATCACAAATTACAGATGGGTGCTATGGCTCATGCCTGTAATCCCAGCACTTTGGGAGGCCAAGATGGGCAGACAGCTTGAGGCCAGGAGTTCGAGACCACCTTGGTCAACATGGCGAAACCCTGTCTCTACTAAAAATTCAAAAATTAGCCAGGTGTGGTGGCGGTGTAATCCCAGCTATCAGGGAGGCTGAAGCAGGAGAATCACTTGAATGTGAAAGGCAGAGGCTGCAGTGAGCTGAAATCGTGTCACTGCACTCCAGCCTGGGCGACAGGGACAGAGCAAGACTCTGAGAAAGCAAAGAAAAGACAAGAGAGAGAGAGAGAGAGGGAGGGAGGAGGGAGGGAGAGAGGGAGGGGAGGGAGGGGAGGGAGGAAGGAGGAGGAAGGGAAGGAGGGGAGTTTGAAACTGGAAGAGGAAAACAGGTGAAGACTAGGTAGCAGAATTCTGAATCCAGAAGTTATTATTGTATTTGCATCTTCTTATATTTTTATTTCCTTTACTCTTTTTCTTTTCGTTTCTTTTCTTTCTTTTTTTTTTTTTTTTTTGGAGACACAGTCTCACTCTATCACCAGTGGAGGTGCAGTGGCACTATCTCGGCTCACTACAACCTCTGCCTCCCTGGTTCAAGTGAATCTCCTGCCTCAGCTTCCCGAGTAGCTGGGACTACAGGCGCGCGCCACCATGCCCAGCTAATTTTGTATTTTTAGTAAGAGACAGGGTTTCACCAGGTTAGCCAGGATGGTCTTGATCTCCTGACCTCAGGTAGTCCACCCACCTTGCGCGTTCTCAAAGTGTGTGGGAATTCAGGCGTGAGCCACCGTGCCCAGCCGAGACAGGGTTTCACCACGTTGACCAGGCTGGTCTCAAACTCCTGACCTCAGGTGATCCACCCGCCTTGGCTTCCCAAAGTGTTGGGATTACAGGCGTGAGCCACCACGCCCGGCCTGGAGCAACTTTTTTAAAGCTTGCTGTGATCTGATCTTTTTCCTTCTTCACTTATCTCTCAAACAACCTACATTCCAGACATATATCACCACTTCCTGAGAATGTCCTGTATTATGTTTTTTTCCTGTATGTGCTGACGCCATCCCCATCATCTGGGACTTCTTCCCTATCTCTGGCTATTAAGTAGTTGAATCTATCTTTCCAAGCCCTATCATAATTAAGCTTTCAAAATTATTTAAATCCCCATTAAAGTTAATGGCATTGTTTGACTAGTATTACTGTTATTTACGCTTAAGGTTATCTCCCTGGCCAGATTCCCTGTAAGATTCTTGATGGCAAGTGTTTTTGTCTCATTCAGCAACTGTGACTTCCAGCATGGGTGCAGTGGCTCACACCTGTAATCCCAACACTTTGGGAGGCCAAGGTGGGAGGACTGCTTGAGCCTAGAAGTTCAGCCTGGGCAATAGAGTGAGACCTTCCTCTCTACAAAAAAAAAAAAAAGGAAGGCCTGGTGGTGTGCACCTCTGGTCCCAGCTACTAGGGAGGCTGAAGTAGGAAGATCTCTTGAGCTCAGGAGGTCAAGGCTGCAGTCAGCTGTGATGATGCCACTGCACTCCAGCCTGGGCAACAGAACGAGACCCTATCTCAAAAACAAAACAACAAACAAACAAACAAAACTCAATTGTGACTGCTCCTCATTTTGTATCCCTTTAGCAGCTACAAAGCTCACCCTGCGGTGTGCAGTGGCTCACACCTGTAATCTCAGCACTCCGGGAGGCCAAGGTGGATCACCTGTCAGGAGTTTGAGAGCATTCTGGCCAGCATGGTGAAACCCTGTCTCTACTAAAAATACAAAACAAGCCGGGCATGGTGGCACATGCCTGTAATCTCAGCTACTTGGGAGGTTGAGGCAGGAGAATCACTTGAACCTGGGAGGCAGAGCTTGCAGTGAGCCGAGATCACGCCTTTGCACTCCACCCTGGGCTACAAGAGCAAAACTCCGTCTCAAAAAAAAAAAAAAGCAACTCAGTAGGCTTATTCCTCTGGGCTAGTGATTCAGTGCTGTGCTGGCACCTGCTGGTCACCTGTGGTGCAGCAGCCCTGGTCCCAGCACCTTCCTCCCTTCAGTATTAAGGGTTGTGACAGTCTGTGCCCTTACCTAGCAATCACTGGAATAATATATTAAATACTCGCCCCACAGCACCACCTTTCAATCTGCAGAACTTTTCCCACTAGCTTCCTACCCCAGAAATTTGGACTTTACATCCTTCCCAGTACTGCAGAAATATAAGGACAGGATCTCCAGGAACTGGGCAGCAAGAAAAGAAAGAAGCAATGTGAGAGTAGAGGATGCAAATCCCTTTTCCCCCTTCAAAGAATCAAGACTGTTTCCAACAGAATTCCACTCTTTTTGACCTTTGTCTTATTTCTAGGTTGCTCTTGGGCCAGAGGCCTTCTTGGAGACAGTAGTGATGAACCGGAGGTTGAGCAGAGAGTAGGTAGGCGGGGCTCAAGGGGTGGGGCCAAGCCAAAGGGCTCTCACACTAAGTGAAGCTTCTCCATTCTGTAAGCTTTCCCGGAACATCCAAGGCAAGACTGGCACCCAGCACAGCAGGTGAGGGACCGGCAGTGACAGAATGGTAGACTTTAGGGGTAATGGTGGCAGAGGAGTCTCCAGCTCTTTCAGTCTTAGCTTTTCATATTGTGAAACTCTTGCTTGTACAATTCTTGGGTCCTTTGTAGAGCTTAACTTAGTTTTTCTGGTGGCAAGGCAGCCTCTGAAAGACCTGGTTTTGGATGCAGTCGGGGCAGGGCTGAGGGATGCAGGTGGATCCATATCCGTATGGATGTGTGTGAAATGCAAGGAAGTCTTAGGAGACAAGGAGATGGATGGGTAAGGGCCAGAGGGAGAGTATGGCCAGGCCAGAGAGGATTATAAGGAGGACCCGGACAAGAGAAAAAGGGAGACTGAAACAGGGAGAGAGGGAGAGGACAGCGGAACAAATGTGAGACGGCAATGGGGGCAATGGAGAGCTAGGTAACAGGAAGGCCAAGGAGGAAGGAAGGCTCACATGGAGCAATCTCCTCTTCCGGCTGGGGAACATGGTCCAGAAAGCCCCAAGGCAAGCTGGGAGCAAAGCAAGGTTCAGGTTTCCACTGGAAGGATTCAGCTGGGGAAGAAACCCCCTCAGTCCCCACCTCCCCTGCCTCTTCAGACTCCCATTTTGGCTTGGGGGAGAGGGCGAGGCTGCTCCTCACTGCGGTCACAGCCACATCCTGCAGAGCAGGGGAGGGGGAAGTAAGAAGCAAAACAACCAGAAGAACCACAGGCGAAGACCATGGGGAGAGAACCCTGGACACATGGAGCTGATATGCCGCCAAGAAGGTCCTGAGTTCAGTGTAGCAGAAGGCTCAGACCTTCAGGACTGCCTGCCCTTCTTGAGGTGCTGGTTTCTTGTGCTTCCTCAGTTGGCTTTAACCACACTGGGAGCATTCTGGGGAAGGAGGTTTCTCTGGATTATTTGGTTTGAAGCCCATCTTTATCATTTACTAGTGACTTTGGCCAAATTGCTAAATTTCTCTTAGCTTCAGTTTTCTCACTGCAAAATGGGAATACCTACCTTAACCTTATACAGGATTGGGAAGACTAAGATGACTGACATAAAGCACTTGGCACATAGTAGGTTCTCAGTAAATGTTAGTTATTACTCCTATTAGGATTCCTGGGATGCTTATGCTTCTTACTTTAAAGGAAGTACAGTGCAATAGCTGCCACTGGCTTTGGGGGCCAAAAAATGAGTTGTGTTTGATCTTGGGTAAATTATTTAATGTAAGTATCATTTGCTCAGCTGTAAAACAAGGATGGTAATACCTATACCACACAGACATATGGCACAGAGTCAGTGTCCAAAAATGGTAGCTGTAAGAATTCTGTCAGGCTGGGCGTGGTGGCTCACACCTATATTCCCAGCACTTGGGGAAGTCGAGGTGGGTGGATCACGAGGTCAGGAGATCAAGACCAGCCTGGCCAACATGGTGAAACCCCATCTCTACTAAAAAATACAAAAATTAGCCGGGCATGGTGGTGGGAGCCTGTAATCCCAACTACTTGGGAGGCTGAGGCAGGAGAATAGCTTGAACTTGGGAGGTGGAGGTTGCAGTGAACAGAGATCACACCCCTGCACTCCAGCCTGAGTGACAAAGCAAGACTCCGTCTCAAAAAAAAGAATTATCTGTCAGGTAAGCCCTGTCTTCACTGCAGCAGCAACAGCCTACTTCCCCTTGAGATGTAACTTGTGCTAGGCTAGCCTCCCGTGTGCCCACATTCCTCCAGCCGGAGCTATCGCCACTCCCATGGGCTGTTTTGGAGTCAAGATTTGCTACAGCACTAAGGGGAAAAAGCAGGAGAAAGGCATAGAGGACTGAGGGGCCCCAGGGGGCGGGGAGGATGACAAACAAAGATGATGATGACATGGAAACTAAAGAAGCAACAGAAAGGGGAAAAGTCATTTCTCTCTTTCTAAGGAAGCCTGTGGCCTTTCTTCTAGTGACTGACCACATACCCCACTCTCCAGGACCCATGGAGTCCTTCAGCTCAAAGAGTCTGGCACTGCAAGCAGAGAAGAAGCTACTGAGTAAGATGGCGGGTCGGTCTGTGGCTCATCTCTTCATAGATGAGACAAGCAGTGAGGTGCTAGATGAGCTGTACCGTGTGTCCAAGGAGTACACGCACAGCCGGCCCCAGGCCCAGCGCGTGATCAAGGACCTGATCAAAGTGGCTGTCAAGGTGGCTGTACTGCACCGCAATGGCTCCTTCGGCCCCAGTGAGCTGGCCCTGGCTACCCGCTTTCGCCAGAAGCTGCGGCAGGGTGCCATGACGGCACTTAGCTTTGGCGAGGTAGACTTCACCTTCGAGGCTGCTGTTCTGGCTGGCCTGCTGACCGAGTGCCGGGATGTGCTGCTGGAGCTGGTGGAACACCACCTCACGCCCAAGTCACATGGCCGCATCCGCCACGTGTTTGATCACTTCTCTGACCCAGGTCTGCTCACAGCCCTCTATGGGCCTGACTTCACTCAGCACCTTGGCAAGATCTGTGACGGGCTCAGGAAGCTGCTAGATGAAGGGAAGCTCTGAGAGCCCCGAGTCTAGCACATTCCACTTTGACAAAATGGCTGACTGAGAAAACACAGATAATGAGCTTCCTAACCCTGCTCAGCTGCCACTAACGCTTTTCAATCTTCAGGCTTCATTCCTTCCCAAGAGTGCTTTTGACTCTGAGACCAGCCCATCCCCACACAGCTGGTGGAGAAGGAGCAATGCTGAGGGGTGAGGCCTCTCTCCCACTCCAGCCCCAGGACAGGAAACAGAACTGCCTGAAAAAGGTGAAGTGAAACTTGGATCTCTATTTCTCCCATAAGGGACTTCTGAAACAGGGAAGCCCCCTCCCATGTGAACCAAGGAAAGGAGGCACAGCCCAGAGAACTCCTCTGGGGACACTAAAGACAGAAGAGGGGAAGGTGGCCCTTAGAAACAGAGCTTGGACAGATGCCAGAGGCTCTGTTCCAGAGTGCAGGAGGAAGGGGCTAGGGCAGGGGAGATTCTCATAGGGGAAATAAAACTACTAGAATATGCACAGGGCTCAATGTTTAATCTGTCCAGCTTCGTATACCTTATAGTCATCACAGAAGAAAGGAGGTATATAAACACCACTTATCTCACCTTTCATCATTTCCAAACAGGAGACTGAGGGAGATTTCCATTATTATTGAGGTTCCCTTACCTACTTCTGTTTGAGAAACAAACAAAACTGTACCATAGATCAGTGCTACAAATTGCAAATAAATATGCAGTGAGGAGGAGGGCATAGCGAGAGAGGGTCTAGAGGGTAGGGGGCGTAACAAAGAGACTCTCACAACTGGCTTCCTCTTCAAACCCCAAGGAAAGCCTCCTTCCATCTGTTCCCCTCATCACAGGCTGAGCAGAACAGGTTAGAAGGGTGAACTGGTAGAATGGAGGGTTCAGGTCCCTACAGTGCTGCTTTTTCTCAGGGTCAAGAATTGTGAAAAAGTTACAGGGAATTGGTTAGTCAAGACTGAGCCCATTCAACAGGAATGGGGTACCAAAAAAAAAAAAAACTCAGTTCAAATCTGTCCCTTTAAGATTGGAGAGAAGGCCAGCAGTCATCCATTCTCTGCGGTAGGCTAGGTCACTGATTGCCTCATCCTCAATCACATGTCTGGCCAACAAGGTGGGGAAGGTGGAGAACCAGCACTCATTGGCTCACTGTTCCCAGGTTCTCTCACCCCAGGGCTACAGAAATTCCATTTTTTAGCTAAGAGTGGGAAGGAATAAAATATAGCAAATAAATATTACTTCAATATTAGCACCAAATAAATTATGTCACACAGTTGGAGATGAGGAAGAAGCTGAGGGGGAGTCTCTGCTTCTCTGTTCTAAGGCCAGGGAATGGTAAAAAGGATAGGAAAGGCAACAAGGATATAAAAAGAGCCTTTTGAGTCTAAAGGACTCAACTCTAGATTCAGCCCAAGAACTGGGAAAGGTCCAGTTCCCATTCCCTAATCTTGCCAATAAAACTGCCCCAGGCCAAGGAATTTTTGGCAGACAAGGAGGCTGGGGAAGATGGCTGGAGTGGAGGGAGGCAGGCTGGTAAGCCATGTTCTTGAGCCTCACCTCAGGCTCCTCTCCCCCTGAAGTTTCTCCTTCAACATCTTGCTTCTCTCAGTCAGTTCTGGGGACATCAGAGTTTGAAGATTTCATCCTCCTGGTCCCGTAGTGTCCGGGTCCGAGAGGTACGGGTCAGCGGCACGGGACCTAGGACTGCTCGTTGCTGCATCCGAGGGGAGCTCAGGTGGAGACCTGCATCCTCCCCAGGTACCCTGCAAGTGAAGAAAGGGGGGAAAGAGTGACAGATCAAGGGAAGAACCTCACAATGGGCTAAGTGAGAGGTACATGGAAAGCTGTCTTCTAATACATAAGCTGGTTGCTTCAAGACAGTCTCAATACCTTCTAGATAAATCCTAACCCTAATGCTCCTTCATGGATGACCAGAGCAGTAAAAACAGTTAACTGTCGGCTGGGCATGGTGGCTCACGCCTGTAATCTCAGCACTTTGCGAGGCTGAGGCGGGCAGATCATGAGGTCAGGAGTTCGAGATCATCCTGGCTAACACAATGAAACCCCGTCTCTACTAAAAATACAAAAAATCAGCCAGGCGTGGTGGTGGGTGCCTTTAGTCCCAGCTACTTGGGAGGCTGAGGCAGGAGAATGGCGTGAACCCGGGAGGCGGAGCTTGCGCCACTGCACTTTAGCCTGGGCAACACAGCGAGACCCCGTCTCAAAAAAAGGCAACTGTCTGACTCCAATAAGAACACAGAACCCAGTTTTCCACTGCCTCTACCTGTGTCAGCAGGCATCGTCTCTGCTCATTGCTTTGGGGCCACATGGGGGAAAGGTATCACCTTCCCTCTGTTGGCACTGTGCTTACTTACTTGTGTTTGTGGTTAGGTAAGATAGGAAGAATGGAGGAGTCTAGGGAGGAACTTATAAGGAACCATTCAACACTCACCCACTTTCCCCTTTTTTCAGCTTCTGGGCAGCAGCCTTCTTGGACAGGCTGATCTGTGAATCAAGCTTCTTAAGGAAATCAGAGGCAGAGAGGTCATGGATGGGCGTGGGGGTTTCCTGGCCAGGTGTGGGGAAGACTTCACCATTGGCACGTCCTGCTCCTGTCTCTTGTTTCTTCCTCTCAGTTGAGTGTGGCCAAACTTCATCGTTACTTGGGTGTACTTCTTCCTCTCCATCTTTTTCTTCCTCAGAATCCAAACCATTGAACAGGTCTCTGGGCTCTGTCAGGATGGGGATGTAGAGGGTTTTCTTCAGGAAGATGGAGTCATTAGTATAAAGGCGGTTTGCACGTTTAATCTGTTCCATCTTAAAAAAAAAAAAAAAGAGTCAACAAAATTAAGGACAGTAATAATGATCAATCTTACATTGCATCTCGAGCTTTTTAAAGTGACTGCACAGAGTCTTCTTTGATTCCATAACAACCAAGCTAAAGTACAAAGGGCTGACATTATTTCTACTTTATAGATGAGTGGTTTTCACACTTTTTGGTCTTAGGGCCCCCTTACATTTTAAAAACTTATTGTGCAAGCTGGGCGCAATGTCTGATGCCTGTAATTCCAGCTACTCAGGAGGCTGAGGCGGGAGGACAGCTTGAGCCCAGGAATTAGAGTCCAGCCTGAGCAATATAGTGAGACCCCATTTCTAAAAATAAAAAAATAAAATAAAAATAAATGAATAAATAAATAAAAATGAAGGAACTGAGGCTCAGAGAGGTTAAGCTACTTGCCTGAAAACTATCTATCAAGTTAATGACACAGCTGGAACGACAATCCTGGGTCTTTTCACTGCTTCTGGGAAAGGTTTTCACACTATACTATTAACAATGTCAGTAATAAATATTTATTTTGACCTATCTATTCATCACTGGACCTAGTGACTGGCATCACCATCTATTTGCCTGGCCTTCCAAGGTAAAAACATCAATGTCATCCTTAACTAATACTTGCCTTTCATCACCATACCAAGTGGTCAACAAAACTGCTTCAAAAATCTCTCTCACATCTGGTCTCATCTTCAGGCCTATTGCCAAAGATTTAAAATAGACCCAAAGTATTTCTCATCTGGGGTTATTGCAACAGTTTAACTGGCCTTCCTCGCTCTATTTTTACTCATCCTCCTCTTGGCATCTATCTTTCTAAAAAAATAAATCTGATTAACCCACTACCCTGCTTATAAACCTCCTATGGGCTCCTCATTGGCTAAAGATAAAAACCAAATTAGCATTCAAGGGCTTTCTCAATCCAGCTCCCAAAGGAAATGTCTAGATTAATCTCCCTTTGCCACCTCTACATTTTGCTATCCTGAACTTTTTATTTTTCTTTGAACATTCCATGATCTTTTCCACACTTTATTCATGCTGTTACTTCTGCCTGAAATGCTCCTGCCCCTCTACTATCCCATTCTCTGCTTGGAAAACTTCTATTCATCAACCACCACTCCCTTTGTGTTACCTTCTTCAGGACTCCTAATGCATACTGTAAATATTGCTATAATCATACATAACCCTACTATAATATTATTCACCTCTTTAAATATTTGCTTTGCCTAAACCCTATGAGTCCTTTAAGGGCAAGGATTGTGACTTGCTGTCTCTGTATCCCCAGGCAGTCGTTAGCATCCTACAGACTTCGACACATAGCAGGGGCTCATTAATGCTTTATTTAAAAATTATTAATTATAATTATCTAATTATTATAATAATTAGATAATGAAATATAGAAACTACAGATATAGTATATTAGTATTTTTTTTCTTCCTTTTTTTTTTTTTGGAGATAAGGTCTCACTCTGTTGCCCAGCCTGGAGTGTAATGGCACAATCTCAGTTCACTGCAACCTCCGCCTCCCGGGCTCAAGTGATCCTCTGCCTCAGCCTCCCCAGTAGTTGGGATTACAGGCACATGCCATCACACCCAGCTAATTTTTGTATTTGTTGTAGAGATGGGGTTTCACCACATTGCCCAGGCTGGTCCTATACTCCTGAGCTCAAGCAATCCACCCCCCTCAGCCTCCCAAAGTGCCGGGATTACAGCACAGGCATGAGCCACCACGCCTGGCCCACCCCTGCCCCTTTCCAACTAAAATTTAATCTTTCTGATTTCCTATCTGTTTTTTTATTTTGAGACAGAGTCTCGCTCTGTTGCCCAGGCTGGAGTGCTGGAGTGCAGTGGTGCGATCTCAGCTCATCACAACCTTCACCTCCCAGGTTCAATTAATTCTTCTGCCTCAGCCTCCTGAGTAGCTGGGATTTCAGGCGAGCACCACCACGTCCGGCTAATTTTTGTATTTTTAGTTGAGACAGTGTTTTGCCATGTTAGCCAGACTGGTCTCGTACTCATAACCTTAGGTGATCCACTTGCCTCAGCCTCCCAAAATGCTAGGATTACAGGGGTGAGTCACCATGCCTGGCCCTGATTCTTTGTTAATACCTTTACAAATTCACCACGTTCTGTCACTTGTAATCATTATTTGTGTACCTGTTCATTTCTCATTAGGCCATAAATTACATGAGGACAGCAACCATATAGTTTAAGTTTCTGTCTCCCAGAAAAGTTATCACAGTGCTTTAAATGTTGGCTAAAGCATAAAAATGTTGGCTAAATTCAACATTTGCTTGAGTGAGATGGAACAAGAAAACAGGGGTGGGGGTAGGGGGAGTAACCTCATCAACTTCAATGCTATACATTTTTACATCTATCCAATTTCCCCCATGCATGACCTGAAATACTTGGTGTAGAGTACCTGTTTTGTGCCAGGGAAGCCGCCTTACTAGAAAGAAGGCAGAGCACTGAGGAGGAACCAAGAGCAAGGAGAGGTAGGCACTTTAGGAACTGAGAACTAAAAATAAGCTCTCCATTATTTGCTGTAAACGTTTAATCACTCTCAATGTAAAATTTTCTGTGTGGTTTACAGAGTCAGACAGACCTGTTTGAATTCCATATCTGACACTCATTATTTGACCTTAGTCAAAATGGTTAACCAATCCAA